TTTAGGCGGAACACCCAAAAAGCCAGGAATTCTGGAAACTGCTTGGCCTACTTTTTGGCAGGGGAAAACCTCCAACTTCCAGTCGCATGGGGCCATTCATGTCCCAAATCTCCAGCTACCAATCCAAAGCCCTCAAAAATGCAACGGAAATCCTTGAAGCCCTCCGAGCCATCCTGGAGCTTGGGCAGAGACCCCAAAGTGTTCAGCGAGCAAAAACTGCAAAACTAAAAAACATGCTCTTCGCTCAAAGATAACTTCACTTAACATAAAGGGCTCTCCAGAAAGAAAAGAACACATCTCAGGGAGAAACAGCAAAGCCGACAACACAATCAAAATAGCACCCCAACAAAGCAAATCTCAGAACAAAACGAAGAACCAACAACAAAAACAGAACCTTCCCCAAATCTTGGCATGGTAGCAAGCAATTTTGCTTTTGGCACCCCCCCCCCTCCACTACCAGTCATGTCAATTTGTGTTTCAACAACAAAGAACACAAGACAACCAGATAACCAGACAAAAAAAAACAACAAGTTATTTCTAATTGTATTTCAACAACAAAGAACGGCACAACAAAACAACACAACCAAACAAACAACATACAACCCCCCCCCCCCCCCGAAGCTCCCCTCGTTTGTTCTTCCATTTCTTCCGAGCCGCAGATCGCGGCGCACTCCACTGCGGTGACATCGAGCGGCAGGCACGAGGGCTCCAGCTCCGCTTGGCAGTGGCCTGCGTCGCAACTTCCGCGAGGTGTTTGGTTCCAAAAACTCACTTGCCCAGTTCGGACCCAGAAATAAAAGGTGATCACCTTTTGGGGCCATGACTAAAAATGGACCAGAACTGGAAAACCAAAAGGTTAAAAAAGGTCTGCTTTGGGCAACTGAGCTAAACTAAGGGATCGCCAAGTAACCTTTATCATGGTGAGCTCGTTGCACCCGTAGAGCTCGCCGTAAAATATCCCAGTGCTTCCAAGCAATCCCCTAGGTGTTTTATATTTCTCTGGAAATGTTACGTAATAATTTCAAAACCTGAATTAAGAATTGGATCGTAAGTAACCTTGCTGATGAGCTCGTTGTACCCCCAAAGCTTGCCATGAAATATCCCACTGTGTCCAGGCGACTCGCCACTATAGGAAGTGACCAAGGGAAACCCTCCATGGCAAAACCCAGAGGTAAAAATACCTGGTTACCTACTGTTGTGGTAACTGGACGCACAGGGTAAGCCTGTAAGGCAATATATTCCCCTTGTAAAAGTGGTAAGCACCATATATCCAAACGCTATGCCTGGAAGTGCCCTTGATGCAAGACATCCAGGCCTTACTCCGACTATGTTCTTTTGGTTGGCGTAGTTCGAACACCTGTTCTTTTTTATACTAATTCCTCGCTTTTGGTAGCCAGGGGTTGACATCATGTTCCTAACAAAGGGAGTACGTTGTGCTTTCCGAGCCAGAGATTTGACTCGGGCGTGGTTGAAAGAAGCGGGCACTTGGTTGACTCGGGTGACCTGGACCAACGGGCTGCACATGTGTGCCATAATCGGGGTTTGACTCCTGAAGGATTGTGATTTCTTGGAACAAAACAAGGAGAACACATGTGCTTTCCATTTGGTGAAGCAAGGGAAACCAAACGGAACCGAGCCCCAATCAGCAATTTCGACACATAACGGCACAAACCCCTGAATGCTTGGAAGGCACCATGAAACAAGTTACTAAAATGAGTACAGTGACGCAAGTTACTGATGAAGCCTAGGGAGTAGAATCCGCTAAAACAACATGTGGTGTTTAGAGGACCCACTTCTATGGCAAGAACCTAAGATGAAGCTCCCGGCCCGCAAATGTCCTCCATATTTTGCTGGTAGGAAGGCAACACAACACAAGGCAAAGACTCAAAAAGGAAAGCCGTTCGTCTTGCAATGAATCGGGGTATATATTAAGCCCCATTGATTAAATGGTGGCCACGGAATTGCGGAGGTTCAGTTGCAGGGAAACATGTCTTAATTCCCTTGGCGGGGGGGGGGGGGGGCAAAACGTTTGTGGGTTGCACCATTTGTAGTGCTCAGGTTTGACCTTTGGTGGCTCCCAAACCCGGCACCACCTTTTCCACAGCTTCCATCCGCGGCTTCCATCCGAAGCCCGTGGCTCCTCGCCTTGCTCCATGCTGAACTTGAAGAGCTTCAGCGTGTAGGTGGACAAAAAGGACCAGAAAGATCTCTCTACCTCCATGGTCGCTGGCAAAGCCACTGGAACCTCGAGTTGCGCGTTGCAAAGCTTTCCATGGGTGCTAATCTGGGGACAAAAAGAAAAACAACAACAAAACAAAAACGGAGACCTTCTAGTTGCCTGGACCCCCAAACTGCCCTCAACGATTGGATATTGCCGCAAAGATGTGCATAGCGTTCTCGTTTGTAAGGGCAGCTTGAGGATCCAGGCACTTACAACAGCTACTGAACTCTGTATGGGCGCCATGACTTTCAGGATGGCACATGGATACTTGCCAGATTGAAACCGTTGCCCTTTAAATCCACCGTTTAAGAGGGCAACTCATCTAGGTCCTCCAGGTTTGGAGGTTAGAATACGGGTACAAACCCTTTTTTTCCCCAACAGCTGAAAGCTTTGGGGTCTCTCCGGGGTGGTCTGGGGCAGCCCTGAGGTAAGGTTCCACGAGGGTTCCACCACATTTCCACCAGGATTTTATCAGGGTTCCTCAGACCACCCCGACGCCACAGCGCTCGAACCTTACCTCAAACCATCCCCGGATGGAACCCTGGTGGAACCCTCGTGCAACCTTACCTCAACCACGGACCACCCCGCAGCCCTCGCAGAACCTAGTGAAACTCTGGTCAAACCCTGCTAAGCTTGCAGATGGGAAGGTTCCATCATGGGTTCCATCAGGGGTTCCACCAGGGTTCCACCAGCTGCGAGGGCTGTGGGGTAGTTCGGGGTTTCACAAAAGGTTCTGCGAGGGCTACGGGATGGCCCGGGCGGCCCTGAGCTGTCACAAAATTTTACAGAGTTCCGCAAGGATTCCACAATGGTTCCACAAGGCCTGACAAGGTTCCACAAGGGTTCAAGACATGTTCTGCACCCTGGAGGGAAGCAATGTGTTGTGCGCCCGCCGTCTGAAAAGCCATCGGAGCAGCAAATTGAGGGCTCAGAAGATCGCTTTGCTCATGGGCGGAACACTAAGCAAAACCGAAATGAATGGTTTTCAGCACACTCAGTGTTTTGTCACTTGCTCACTTGCTCAGGCAACGCGGCCCGAAATGTTGGCTTTGTGGCAGATCAGATCACGTTGCTGCGGGACTCACGGTGCAGCAAAGTAAATGCTTGGCATTGCTGAGTATAACTTGGTGGGCTTTGGGCTCCAAGAACTCCACGAGGCTGCGTTCCAAAAAGGTTTCCACCAGGTTCTGCAAAAGCTATGGGGCAGCCCTGAGGAAGGGTTCCAACAAAGCTTCACCTGAGTTCCACGAGAATGCACCGTCGGGGCCCGATCGGCTTTGCGCCCCGATTGGGGCCCGACTCAGTTGGGCCCCGTCAATTGTACCAAGCTGGCATCGCCTAGTTTTGCTAGATACAGTTGTAAGGCCGCATCCCAAGGAAAACCGGCGTTGAGCTATAATATGCCCCGATTGCACCGTCGGGCCCCGATCGGGCCCCGATTGCGCCGTTGGGCCCCGATCAGGGCGCGATTGCGCTGTCACCCTTAGCTTTGCTGTAGAAAGTTACAAGGCGGCATCGTCAGCAACAGCGGCGGTGAGGTGGGTCCCGGGGCGTTTCGGGAGGATTGTGGGAGGCTGTTGGGGATATCGCCTGAGCTTGTTTCTATGTGGTCTATTTTAGTAGGGGAACCCTCCCCCAACGCAGGGTAAAAGGGCACTACAGGGGGAATAACCCAGCCGAGGCGCGCGTTGGCAGTAGCTGCTGGCTGGGGCAACCAGCACTGCAGCCCACAGAAGTCGGACGCACTGTGCCATGGCCATGACGCAAGCCGACTTTAGCCGAGCCGACGAAAGGTCTGCGGCGCAGCAGTGGAGGGGATGGGTTTAGGATGCAGGGCCCGCCATGGGGCCTGCGTTTGTGAAATCAGCCTTTTTTACACCTTGGCATGGATGATTTCAAAAACACAGGCCCCATGGCGGGCTGCTCTCTTAGGAGGGTTTGAGGATGGGTTTAGATTTGTGAGGGTTTAGTACAAGTTGGTTTAGGGGTGGCTCGCCTCAAGCACGATCCGGGTCACTCCGAGATGCTGGAATACGGTGTTCCAAGATCTTGGATCAACCTGGCTTCCCCAAGCCAAACCCTTGGCCCCAATTCGGGGCACACCGAGGGTATTTGACGTCCTACAACAATATGACCCCATGTTTCAAGAGTCCTGGAGACGCCAGGTGCATTTTGAGTATTTGGTATCTTGGACCCTGCTTTCGCCATGAAGTACTTTGCTCCCAAAATCCGAGCTGCGTTCTGCTTCAGACCCTCACTCCGCATCCCTTGGTCCGGTGAATTGCTTCTCTGCTCCGGATGTGGCCAACAAATTCGGCAAAGGAAACCACTGCTCAAGAACTCAAATGCAAAAGCGGCCAGTTACCTGCTGCGAGTCCAGGAAAATAATTGAGCGTAAGAAATGCGCCCCTGCAGGTTATCCTTAAATTTCCCAACCACCATTACACAATAAAGGTTCATAGAACCACCACTGTTTACCTAAGGACATGATTTCACCCCAGGGACGCGGAACGCAAATCAGCCCAGTTGGTATCCCCAACAACCCCGCAACCCCCTGGAACCCTCCAAGAAACCCTCACTCAAAACTGCCACCCCACAAGCTGTCGGCCGGGGAACTTCCCAACCCTTGTGCTAGCCTCTTTGAGTTTGGCCAATTAAAATGGACACAACCCAAACAACTCCAAGTCTTCAAAAAAAAAACAAAAAAGCACGCGAGGTAGAAAAAGCATCCCAAAAACGAGAAAATCCACTGGCTCCCACATCATCCTGAGCTTTTGGCTGGCTTGGTCGTGAAGGGCCAATAATCCTTCCAGCAAGGGCCCCAGGCCTGTCGCTTTCCGAATTCGCAGGTAATGTCGCCTGTGAAAACTGGGCCCGTCATCTCCAAATTGGGAAGCTTCTTGTTTGATGGTAACTATCAAAAAATTGGGTGGTTGTAAAGGGACATCTCAGGGAAAAAAACACCCTTTTTGGGCAGAGAGGGACGTGATGAGAGGCTCGGCTTTTCTATACCTCTGGTGTATGCTGTGTTTGTGTGCTTATTAAGCGTGTGAATCGCAGATCGCGAGTTGCTCTTGTAGAGCTGTTGGAGGATTGACCTTGAAAGTTTGCATGTTTGGGCTCTTAGGGCCTCCCAGCATTGGTTGTTGGGGACATCTGCAGACATGTTTGAGGTCAGCCTCTCAAACCGTGGAGAGGTCCAAGATCTGCAGAGGTCCCCAAAAAACAACAGAACCAATCCCCAGGACTCTTGGGCTGGGTCAGGCTAAAGACCCCCCAGGACTGTGTTTTTATTGGGGCCTCTGCAGACTTTGTGGAGGTCAGAGCCTTTCAGGATTGACGTTGATTTACAATTCAACTGGAATTTAAGAATAGTTTAAGAAGGACATAGTTATATCAGGACCTCGACTATGAATTAGATTTAAAATGGGAAGTCTTTTCCACACATTATATTGATAGTATGAGGACAGAACTCAACTAGAGCGTCCATCTCGAGCTAGAATGCAAATAGGAAGTCATGTCCAATAGGATCTTAATTGAAATAGTGCTAGAATTTAAGACGAATGTAGTATGGAACGAATATCTTAACAGTTCGAGTAGGAATTCCTTTCCAGAGGAACTGCTATTAAACAATAATTATAATTTGAACAACTTAACATAAGGAAAAGATAAACAATCAACTTGTGTTTCCCAATGATATTCCAATCGGATCCCAATAAGGACAAAGCTGTTCCAACTCTTATTATAAATATAGTTTGAACAGGAATGCCTGTCCTAGTTTCATAGAAACGGGTGTGTCCAAATCTACTTAGGAATTGAATCAACATAACATTCCTTGACACATTGGACTTGACAACTCAAGTTAGAATTTGACAATCTAATATGGACAGGCTTTACCAGAGAGCCTGTGAGCAGAAAACCGAGGCGTGTAAGTATGTTGAAACTCATTCGCACATGGCGTAGCACAGCAAATGCTAGCCCGCAACACAGCCCATGCAAACATGTACAAGGAAAGACGCAGGTCAATACACATACAAGATACAAATCCGAAAACACGGAGAACGCACTTGCATGGTAAATACCTCCTTGGATCGGTCAGAGGTTTACACGATACCGTTGAAATGTGGGTATATGGAGCAGGCGGTTGCGGCTCAGTGACATTTTTGTTCCTCTCCGCGCCCAGGACTGGGTGCCAAGTAGCGAGTCTGGAAGAAAAGCAAGAAGGGCCAAGCACTGAACCTGAGGTCTCCTCCGAAACTGTTTTATTTGTTTAGGATAGACTAACAGTGGCAGAGAAACAGGACATGTGATTTTCCCTGTTCGGTGCATTTTGTGAATTAATACCTTATGATTTAGTTACAGGTTGACATCCTACCCTCGCAAAAGTGGGTATTTGGAGCCGGGGTCATTAGGTGGTCGGTGCCCACCCGCAGATCTGTTAGACCAACCACTAAAATGGCCTAGCTTGGACCTTCTACAGCACGCTACTCGATTTTTTCGGTAGAAGCTTGGCCAACTTGCCAACAATTCGACTCCAGGTTTCTGGGCCGCTTCAGCATCGGTGCAAGGCATAGTCAGATCAACTGGACCCTTTCCGTCTCCGTGATTGAGCCATAAAGTGAAGTTGTCTCAAGTAAACCCACCAAACCACAAAGGTTCCCTTGTTCTCCAAGTAAACACACACACACAACCAACCGCGGTTAACACTGGTGAAATGTAGTACGTGGTTCGGTTTCTCTTGTTTCTTGCTTGATTCTCACTTGTCATGCACTGTCGGCAAATTGTGCGCCCTGTAGCGGGAGGGAGGATGCCAGAAGTGGCTGAACTCTTTCGAACATGATGTTTCGAGGATCGTGACATAACCACAGCCCCACGCTTTTCTTTAACTTTTCCGAGGACTCTCAAGCCTTGAACATGGGAAGTTGCTCCCTCTTCTTGAGGCCACGGTAGTCCCTTGAGATCTTCCATGTAGTCTTTGTAGCGGAAGGGTTTGTACCCCAACTGTGGCCCTCACCCTCGCCCCTCCCAGGCCCTCCCATGCCCTACTCGAATGGTTGCTTTCAAGGGCCCCAAGATCCAAGCAAGTAATTGCTAAAAAACGGTTCCGTCTTGCACCAAGGCATGGGTCCACATTTAAAAAAAACAACAAGAAAGAAGAAGCCCAACTTTCTTGGGTACATCCGGCCCAGCCACCCGGCGGCCCACGCCTCCTGAAGCGCCGCATGCGCGACATAGGAGTCCTTTCCAGGAGGATCTGGACGCCAGTCGAAGGCTTTCGGACTTGCGGACTTGCAGCGCCCTTTAACACAAAGGAGAGACCAGGGAACCAATCTCCAAGGAGATCACCAGTCGCAAGCTCACCAGTCGGATCTCCAAGTTGCCTTCACTGCGACTTCTTCGTTGGTTGCAACGGAGTGTCTCGCAAGGGAACACCAAAGTCTCAGCAACCATTGAACATTGGACATTGCCCCCCCCCCCAAGCTCCAGGTTTATTGGGGTAGTTTGAGTGCACCACCAGCCCAATATGTCCTTTTTAAACATCACCAAAAGAGAATCGGCGCAAAAGGTGATGTTCAGGGACAAATACGGAGCCCCTGTTACGCTTCCTTTTTGGAAGGAACAAACGCAATTCTGGTGTGGTGTCCCATGTTTTGAGGCTAGCTTGAGTGTTCCTGTACACAGAAAAGTCCTGCCAAGTTCTTTCACTGTCAATCCGTTCTCTCTAAAATAATAAGGCCCTCCCTCCCCCAAAATACAAAAATACCCCTGGAGATGTGCTTGAATACTTTTTTGGGGGCTGGGGGACCTGTTTTTTCCTGGTTAGAAGGGAAACTCAAACGGGCCAAAGGGCACTTTTTCAGGTCTCATGTTCAGCCCTGACTAAGAATGGAGGTACGTATAACATAGAAAACCATATTCTTCAACGTGTGCCCTGACCCTGAAGAAGAATGGGTATCTGAGCTCCTCCCCCCGTCTGGCTCGAGTCCTGGCACCGCTCGTTTTCCAACAAGGAGGCGAGAGCGCCCTCCCGCACACACCGCTGCTTCCGGTTGATCATGTCCTGCCAGCTGTTCAATGGACTCCACAGCTCTGTCAGCATTCCATTGAAGGACTGCTTATTGACTGGCACGTGTGCATACACGTAGAGCTCACGCAATCAAACCAAGCCAAGGTATGAAATGATAAACGTGTGCAGAGCATGCAAGTACAGTCAGTTTAAACTCATTTTAGATGTTATGTGGTCTCGCCGCTTTTCAGGTGTGCTGCATGCCTGCGACAACTTACGGTCGTGGCATCAACATCGCAACATTTTGGGAAGGCTGCTCTTGGAAAGCTTCGATCCTTCAAAGCTGCCAATCACAGCTAAGCGACGGATTGGGTGTAAGCCGATGGGCCAGCTTTCAAACACCTTTCTCTCAATCAGAGGGTTGGGTTGCAGGAAATTCTACAGGAAAACAGTTTACTTAGGGTGTTTTGGGGCCATTTCCTGTAGGTTTTCCGGCAACCAAGCACTTTCTTGGCAGGACTTCAGGCTCCTCATAGGTTTGCTAAGAGGTGGACTTCAGCCCTAAGTTGGGCTATGCAGGCTGCAGGTCTGGCATGCTGCAGCTGTGAAGTTGCCGGGGGCCCTTGGGGACCCCAAGGATACATGGGGATTATAAGGAGCCCCCTGAAATAATATTGGTAGATTCTGTTGAGAAACTCCCATATCTCTAAGATATTTGGGATTTGTGAGGCTGACGGCTCAGGGATGCTTAGGGTGTGTGTAGAGACTTTCGAGTTGCGAGCCACTTAGGATGTTGCAGCTGCCAGCAACCCTTCAGTCCCGGACAGCCAAACGTGTCAAACAGGTAGTCAGAATCCTTGCGAACAGCATCCGCGGCTTCTTGGTCAACACTTGGGAGATCGTTCAAAAGGAAGACTTGCGACGACAAACTCTGCCACAATCACTCAAACAAAGGGCGGCAGCGAGCAGAGAATTAATGTGCACGTGATGATGCCATAGGTTGGCACAGAAAACAGAATCGCCATCTCAGCTCCGCGAACAAGTAAAATCATGAAGCCAATCAACAAGGAGCAAGCCATGTTTAGCATTGCTTCCTGACATTTTGTAGAACGGTGCCTCTGACAACGACGTGGGATCCGCAGCCATAATGCTACGAGTACTGGGATGTTCCCTAGCCACCAGGCAGTAGAAGACATTGCTGAAGACCAACCATGCGTCTGAGAAGGCAAAGTACGAGAAAAACCCAAGATGAATGCCAAACCACATCATAGGAAACGTAGCTCCAACGAGCCAAGCATAAGGCAATAGGCACCGTATGACTCCACGCTCGAATGATGCGGAAACGACAGCGTCAAAAGCAGCGACGGAGCCAAACCAATGTTCGAGGCATTGGGCAAGGGTTTCGCGGTCGCAAGGAATCTGCTCTCCAGTCTTTGGATGCACGTGGTTTACGCTGCAGCAGGCGCAAACGGTGTCGTTGTGGAAGGAGAAAGTCTTCAGCTGCTCCTGGACAGCACGAAGCAGCCCGGAAGTGGGCTCGCGCTGCAGCGCTGGTGATATACATAAAAACAAATCCAGAAGAAGCGTAGATGAAGGAAGACATAAGGATGACCCATTGCACGTCTGCTCGCCCCATGAGGTTCTCAATCAGCAGGTCTGAGCCCGCCAGCAGCAGAGCTAAGGAAAGAAAGCCGGCAATTGCACATCCTCCCCAGCTGATAGGCCTGATGATCAACGAATCTTGTGCGTGACACTTCAGGAAGACGGCTAGCTCTACCGTACACCACATGCGGAGCATATAGCCTGGATCCCAACACACCAACAAAGACCGTGAATGCTTCAACAGTGCTGCTAAGTTTAGTGTGCCTTCAGCCTTCAACTTCCTGTCCTTCTGATGGATGCATATCCTATCCAGGAAGACAAGGCTGCGAGACTGCCACAGCAGGAAAGTGAGACCGGAGAGAGTGATGCCAGCCAGCATACTCCAAGCTAAAGTGTTCTTCGTAGGCAATGGTCCAAGCTCGGGCTCTGTGCAGATCCGTGTGGTCACAAAAGCTGCCGAGCCAACCAGAACAGCTGGCATCCCATTGTATACCGCGAGGAGCAGAATCTTGGACACTGCACTGCCATGCCAGGAGTGCGACCAGAATTGGGGAATGTGCGACCACACTTGACTCTGATGGTAACGGTTTGGTCCACCGTGCCCTTCGCGCAAAGCTTGTCCAAAGCGCATGGCGGGCCTGCGTCACTCTTATTACCTCCGGACTTGAGATTTGAAGGCGAACCACGAAGTTCTTGAGCCTCACCATCTGCATCTGGATCTCATCCTGAACGATTCTCTCGACAGGCTCTTGCTGCGAGGCTCCAATCATCGAAGTACGCGACTGCTCCGCGCTCGGACAACCTGTCCTCTCCCGCGGCACAGCGTCATTTTGCGGTAGACCTGAATCCATGAGGAAACGAAGCCCACAGATTGGCAGCGAGCTAAGGCTTTATCAAATGCTGCAAGTGGCTGCAGGGCGGCTTTTGCCTTAGTTGCTGTTGACCCCCCCCCCCCGCAAAAGCTTAACTTTTGGGGGGTTTGGTGGAAAACACCTTTGTGTCCCGAAAAGATAAAGTCTAAAGATCCAACACAATAGCAAACAAGTTTAGATTTACATGAAGCTTGCGAACCAAGCCTCCAGGGTACACCAACACTTTTGGCCAGGCAGCACATAAAGTCAATCGGCTTTGTCTCAACTTGAGTCAAAGTTGGGTGAGTTGGAAGGCACAATTCCCACAAGTGAGTAAGACAAGCGGAAGATGAATCTAGCTTAAGAAGGTAGGTGCCCTCCCGAAAAGCATGGAACAACCGGAAAGGGACTCCCAGTTGCCATTTTCACCCTCAGAGGGGACCACGAGCATCCAACTCAAAACGGGGGGCTTGAAAGAAAAGGGGGTTAAGAAAGGGCATTGCCTTTTGCATTGGATTCTGTTAAGGATTGGCATCTTATAAAGGATTGCTATCATACTCAAAGGCCAGCTTTTGCCCGCTTCCATTTTTGGGCCGGGAAAAAAACACAATCTTTGCGGGCGGGGGTTCGGCAAACCGGCAACCTTAGCCGAAATGCGCCCGAAAGCTCAAAGACATCGACAGGAGCCGTTGGGACAGCCGGCTGCATCTACACCCATGGGCTTTCCACCGGTGTCCCTCAACCTGTCCGGACTGCTTTGAGTTTTCTGCGTCAGCCAACCCCCCCCCCTCCAAAAAGAAAGAAGAGAAAAACGTGGGTGAACAAGCAAACAGCAACTTGCTGTGGGAATTTCGGAATGACCCGAATATACACCATCCAACTGGTGGTTTCCTTTGAGGGGAATGTTGGGGCCCTTCGCCAGTCTCCTCGATTCAACCAGTGAACCCCCGGGCTTACCTACGAAATCAGCTTGATTTGTTTTTGAATCACTGGGGGAGGTGTCAAAACACCTGGTCTGGTGATTGGCCCAATCTTGAATGGTGCCTGGACCCTCAAACTACCCTAAAAATGGAAATACAGCCACAAATCATCCCCTGACAAAAGGAGGTTTTACCTTGAAAACCCGGTGTTTTTGTCGAAACCTTTACACAAGATAGTACTTGGAAATGTTGGGCGCGATGTTCAAACAATCATTTCAATCTCTTTGGCTTCCCTTAGCACACCGTTGCAATGTGAAAGATTGACCGCTCAGAACCACGGCTTCCAAACCTTTGGGTTTTGGAGGGTCTTTGGTCGTTTGCCAACTACAGTAAGGGCCCAAATATTTAGAATGGAGTTGTGGGGTCCTCAAAAACCATGCATATATAAATAAATAAATAAATAAATAAATAAATATATATATATATATATACATCTCTCGCTCTCTCTCTCTCTCTCTCTCTCTCTGTCTCTCTTTCTCTCTCTCTCTCTCTCTCTCTTCATGATCATAAGAAATAACGCGTGTGCTTTGGTACCTGGACCCTCAAACTATCCTTAAAGCCCATATTTTTGGGGCAGCATCCCATTGTTTAAGGCGAGTTTGAGGCTCCAGGTCGCGGATCGCCTACTGCAGGTGAGGGGTATCGATTCCATGGACGTCTGCGGGTCGATTTCGGTGTTCGGTCCTCGCCCAGAAACCTGAAGGTGTTGGGCCACAAGTCGCACTCCTCAGGTGAGAGGAGTGCGACGAACGAGACTTGTTTTGTAGCCTTCGAAGCTGCGGGCAAGAGCCGAAGCGGCAGTTGGGAGCTTTAGGTCGAAGCAAAGATGGGATATGGCTGTGGTTGTCAAAACCAATGGGATCCCACTTTGGGGTAGGTGAATTCACCACCCATTTCAGAACCTATTTGAGTGGTTGGATTGAATAGAATGCTCACTGGGGGTACGATTTGGATTTTGACCCATGGCCATATTGTTTAAATTTTTGGTAGACGATTAGTTAGATGTCCACCCACTTCCCGAACCAAAAGGGCACCGGTTCCTGCGGAAAAGGGGGGCCACACCCGCTTGGGCTTACTAATGTAGAGGCTGTTCAATCTATTCCATTGCACTCTTGCCTGTCCAAGGTCACCACACAAAAACGAAGGCTTGGGCACTTGGGCATGTGCCAAACTTGCGGGACACGCCAAAAATGGTGCATCCACCCCTTGGCCATGGCCATAGCCCTCCAGGGGGAAATTGGACCCCTCCAGACCTCCAGAGTGGAGGGGCAAGCATCCGGGGTTCAGCAAGCCAATTGATTTGTGAAAACTTCCAGCAGTAGCTGAGCCGAGAGAGGAATTGAGCGAAGACTTGGTTCTCAGGGAACGAGCCCATACTATTCGTGACTTTTAGGCGATCACAAACGGTTCATTCCCACAACCCGTGATTCGTTCCAGAACCTCAAGTTGGGTCTTACAAAATAAGTCCGGATGCTCCCAACACAACTCCACGAACTCTCCGCGCAAAAAAAGCAGGGGGCCCACCTTTTTCTTGAGGGTATCCTTTTTGTTGGCGTTGTGTAATGAAAGCCAAAAGGACAACCACCATACCTGTGGGTGGACAAAATGCTGCACCACTTGAAACCGTGAAAAGCCACAGTTTGTTGGTATTTACAGAAACAAAACAAAAAACATCATTCCAACGTTTCTTAGGTGGTCCGACCTGTCTTTTTTGTCCATCCACAGTACAAGTTCTTGTTTTTCTTGCGGGGTAAGGGCCACCCTAATAGGTCCTCCAGTAGAGAGGACAGAATAAGCTGCTACCCGATGTTCTTTTTGTTTTTCGTTTTTTTTTTTTTTGATTTTTTTCTGTAGTCTATGTTAGGGTCCCGAACCCACCCTCCCAAAAACCAAACGGGTGAGAAAGCGCACCGATTGGGGGACCTGCCAGGAGCCTCAAAAACCGATGAACATGTCATACCTACAAAAAACACGATGTTTTAGTCAGGGTACTACATTTTTACAGGTTCTTGAAGCCCTAGGTACCCTCCTCTTGCCGTATCCGCTGCGGTCCATCGAGTCCCGGGCGCCGCTGAGGTTCCAGGCCCGGATCTCGGTACAGGCCTCGCGAGTACGCCCTTCGAGGCTTTGGACACGTCCCGAGATTCCAAAGGGGTCGAGATTTAATTTGGGATTTGGTTTGCTTTATTTGGGGGATTTTTTTGTATGTTCCGTCCTGGCTACTAAAATGCTGTAAATTGCACGGAACTCCTTTGGCTTACAACTCAAATGAGAGCCGCTCTGTGTTTTTCTCCTTTTTTTCTAAAGTGGTAAAGGCCCAAAGGCGAGCCAAGTTACAAGTGAGATTTTGGTCGAAGTGTACTTGGTCTACCACTCAAGTGGTAACCCAAAAGAGACTAAAATTCTGGAGGGAGTGAGGTTTTGTTCCCTCCTGTGTCCTTAGTGCTTTGGAGGCTGCGGTTGGGTCCTCAAAATGCGACAAACCTAAAATGGTTGGTTTGTGGTTCCCCTTTAACACCAACCATATTTGGCCCAATTCAGAGATACACCAAAAACAAAATGTTGTGAGTCTGCTGATATGCTGCCATCCTTCAAATGGGACACGTGTTAAACCCTGCCTGCCAAAAACAACAACTTATTTACCATGGCAAACCCTACAAATGCAAAATAACCATCAAAAAAGGTTCTGTCGTTGTTGATGCCTTCCGATAATGCCAGCAAACACTATGCTGCTGGCAGTCCCTAAGAACAGAACCAAAAAACTAAAAAACTAAAGACGGGGGACCACAAAAACAGCATGCAGAAATCATAGGCTATTCTAAAAGGACGGCTCGACATTGAAGCAACGCACTGAAGGCATGAAAAAACCCGACTCAACCCGATTTGAGCTTCTTCTTTTTGGCGGCCCGAGGTCCCGGCCATGTGGACGCAAGAGCCAGTATCCACCTGGTGCAAAACTTGCGTCCAAAGTGGTGCCAGAAGGCGTTTTGCCATGGCAAGCGTATAGGATGGGAAGCCCCTAGGTCGTGTTGGAAAAAGGGAGCATGAACTCACCCAAGCCCTGGTTGTTGCTTTTGGCATCCCTCTGACACACCAATCAAAACGGGGGTTGTCGTTTTGGGACGGAAGAACACATGTCAAACACCCCCGAATGGTCTTTCTGTGATTCCCTTGATGGACGTCTAAAAATGATTCTGCTGGGGTCCATGCCCTACTACGCTCAAGTACAAGGGTGGCTTGCAAAAATAGGGCACGCCCAACTCTCGCTTTCCTTTAGATTCCCTCCAGTTACAAGGGGCTTCCCACTTTGGGACAGCAAAAAATATTCCCTGCAAATTAACATGGAACCCCAAACAACGGTCCTCCAAGAGCAGATTCCTCAACCAAGGATGTCCTTTTGGGTTCCATACCAGTCTGGGGAGTACAAAAAGACTTGACTCCGTCCGAGCTTGGTGCATTGGAAGATCTGAGACCCTTTGACCAGACTTGCTGCTGCGGACGGGTGAAGGTATCCCTTCGGTTTCACATTTGAACAACCCTACTCGGAGTCACCTCAAACAGCACACCCAAATGTTTCTTGAAATGCCTTCCAAAAAAGCGTGGATGGGTCCACCAGTTCAATTTATGTACACATATTCTCATGTGATGAATACTGCAGGACCGGTCGAAGCGATCTGAGCGGGACACCAGGATTTAACGCCTCGAAAAACATCGTCTAGCCTGTGGGGCTGTCGTAACCTCCAGGAAATGATCCAAGTTGACGCATCTGGTGCGCTTCCCTCAACAAAACAACTGCTAATTCATAGAACACGTCTTGGGAAGGAACATCCGTGTTTTTTGGGGGGGGATGGGCAGTCCAAACTTCGAATCATATCTTTCGCTTTTGTTTTCACAGGGATCCTACCCAAAAGAAAATCATTCAACAATGGCCGAAGCTAGTGATGATCTTCAAAAGCCAGAAAGTTATTTGTGGCTGTGTTTTTCAGGGTGCCATTTTGCAATTTTGTCATGGTTTTAAAGGGAAACCCTTCTTTTCAGGTCCTTTTTCTAACACAGACCAGCCACCCAAATTGCTTAGCCCATATGGAGCCCCCCCCCCCTGAAAAAGGGCCTTGGCGCGCGCAAAGTCAAAGGCGTGGGTCAGCTCATGGACCAGCACTGGCATGGCGGTTGGTTTCTCTCTGGGCCCAAAACGTCTGAACTTCTGGGAAATGGTATACGCCCCAAATGGCTGGGCTGGCTAGCCTTTAACACCAAGCAAAAAGGGCTTCCCCAAAAAAAGACACACCCTCTTGAGCACTCGAGAAAAAGCACTTTAGCATTCTTCCAACAGTTTTCACAAGAGAAATCCACAAACATGAAATTAGAAGGCACCAAATCCAAACCAATTGGAGGGAAAAGCTAGAGAGTGGAGAACATGGGAGTGCCGTTTTTTGTTACTGAGAGCGGTAAGTCAAAAAATGTGCTTGCTTGCATGGTTCAGGATTATGGAGTGAGCACTTCGGAGCCTCCGGAGAGAGAGAGGGAGAGAGAGAGAGAGAGAGACAGAGAGAGATAGAGGTTCAGGACCCTTCAAGCTACCCTCAAACTGGATCATGTTGAGGTGATGTCTCATTTGGAGGGAGTGGTTTGAGGGTCCAGGCTTTTCTTCCCGGTTTCCTCACTGCTGATATTGGCCAGGTCCAGGTTTGAGTGCCAAGATGGTCCCCGCAAGTGATCGAGGAATTCAGTGAAGGTCCCTTTAAACCAACGTAAGGGTTTATTTGATCACTCTGAACCCAGAAGGAATCTAGGGAAAACATTCAAACCTTCGCCCAGTACTCGGGTGTAACCAGAATAATCTGGACCACGATTCTGGTTTGTCCAGGCTCCTTGGCCACCATTGAAACAATGGTTGGGTTGCTGATATAACCACCATGAGGTTTTGAGTTTCTTCATATGAGGAGCGGACGAAACACTTTACTTGGCCCTAGTACTTGTTTGAACGTTATCGTTTTTGGGGGAGACCTTATCGTTTTATAGTGTTTTTGGGCAGATCCGGCTCGAAAATCGCAACTTTGTAGTACAAGTCTAGTGCGCGAAGTACACTTCCGCAGCTCCAGCTCGAAAATCGCAACTTTGTACTACAAGTCTCGTACGCGAAGTGCACTTCCGCAGCTCCAGCTCGAAAATCGCAACTTTGTAGTACAAGTCCTGTACGCGAAGTACACTTCCGCAGCTCCAGCTCGAAATTCGCAACTTTGTAGTACAAGTCTAGTGCGCGAAGTACACTTCCGCATCTCCAGCTTGAAAACCGAAACTGTGTAGTGCAAGTCTAGTACGGGAAGTACACGTCCGCAGCTCCAGCTCGAAAATCGCAACTTTGTAGTACAAGTCTAGTACGCCAAGTACACTTTTCCGCAGCTCCAGCTCGAAAATCGCAACTTTGTAGTACGAGTCTAGTACGCTTCCGCAGCTCCAGCTCAAAAATCGAGCTATGTAGTACAAGTCTATAGTACATAGTACACGAAGTACACTTCCGCAGCTCCAGCTCGAAAAGCGCAGCCTTGTAGTACAAGTCTAGTACGCGAAGTGCACTTCCGCATCTCCAGCTCGAAAATCGCAACTTTGTAGCACAAGTCTAGTCGCGAAGTACACTTCCGCGGCTCCAGATGAAAAATCGCAACTTTGTAGTACAAGTCTTGTGCGCGAAGTACACTTCCGCAGCTCCAGCTGGAAAATCGCAACTTTGTAGTACAAGTCTTGTATGCAAAGTACACTTACTTCCGCAGCTCCAGCTCGCAAATTGCAACTTTGTAGCACAAGTCTAGTACGCGAAGTGCACTTCCGCAGCTCCAGCTCGAAAAGCGCAACTTTGTAGCACAAGTCTAGTACGCCAAGTACACTTCCGCAGCTCCAGCTAAAAACTCGAGCTATGTAGTACAAGTCAAGCACGCGAAATACACTTCCGCGGGTCCAGCTGAAAAATCGCAACTTTGCAGTACAAGTCTTGTGCGCGAAGTACACTTCCGCAGCTCCAGCTCGAAAATCGCAACTTTGTACTACAAGTCTAGTATGCAAAGTACACTTACTTCCGCAGCTCCAACTCGAAAATCGCAACTTTGTAGTACAAGTCTAGTACGCGAAGTACACTTCCGCATCTCCAGCTCGAAAATCGCAACTTTGTAGTACAAGTCTAGCACGCGAAGCACACTTCCGCATCTCCAGCTCGAAAATCGCAACTTTCTAGTACAAGTCTAGCACGCGAAGTACACTTCTGCATCTCCAGCTCAAAAATCGAAACTGTAGTGCAAGTCTAGTCGCGAAGTACACTTCCGCGGCTCCAGCTGAAAAATCGCAACTTTGCAGTACAAGTCTTGTGCGCGAAGTACACTTCCGCAGCTCCAGCTCAAAAATCGCAACTTTGTAGCACAAGTCTAGTCGCGAAGTACACTTCCGCGGCTCCAGATGAAAAATCGCAACTTTGTAGTACAAGTCTTGTGCGCGAAGTACACTTCCGCAGCTGCAGCTCGAAAATCGCAACTTTGTAGTACAAGTCTAGTATGCAAAGTACACTTACTTCCGCAGCTCCAACTCGAAAATCGCAACTTTGTAGTACAAGTCTAGTACGCGAAGTACACTTCCGCAGCTCCAGCTCGAAAAGCGCAACTTAGTGGTACAAGTCTAGTGGCGAAGCAAACTTCCGCATCTCCAGCTCGAAAATCGCAACTGTGTAGTACAAGTCTAGTACGGGAAGTACACTTCCGCATCTCCAGCTCGAAATCGCAACTTTGTCGTGCAAGTCTAATACGCGAAGTACACTTCCGCAGCTCCAGCTCGAAAATCGCAACTTCTCAGTACAAGTGTCGTATTTACGAAGCACACCTTGGCAGCTCCAGCTCCAAAGTGGCGACTCGCCTTCTCGTTTACGGTGGCCACGCAAGGGTCCCAATGTAACTAAGTTGCAACTGCAGGGGTTATTATAGAGCCGTGTGTTAGCTAAGGGTTATCGTTTTTGGGGGAGACCTTATCGTTTTCTATGGTTTTGGCATGTGTTATGCAAAAACGTACCCCGCCTTGATAAAGTGGTCTTCCAAATGGAACCCTGGGTAATGGGAACCAAGGACTAAACTCTGCGGTCCCCTGGTGGTCTACTTTTGATCCATAGCCATATCTGCAGCTACTGGACCTGCCCCTGCTTCAAGAACCCGGGTGTGGATCGGGACTCAGTTCCGGCTCACATTCGGCTCAACGATTCGACCATTCAGCCCCTCAAAGGCATCCACAGAACCTGACCCTATGCGCACTATCGGAAAAACGACAAGCGCGGATGGCGCGTGGTCAAACAGACACGGACACAGACACACACACAGACACAGACACAGACACAGACACACACACAGACACACAGACACACAGACACACAGACACACAGACACACGGACACGGACACGGACACGGACACGGACACGGACACGGACACGGACACGGACACGGACACGCACACGCACACGGACACGGACACGGACACGGACACGGACACGGACACGGACACGGACACGGACACGGACACAGACACAGACACAGACACAGACACAGACACAGACACAGACGCAGACACACACATGCAATGTCCGTTGCGACAGGTTTCACCCCACTCTCTCTCTTTGCTTTCTTTCTTTCTTTATTTCTTTCTCTCTCTCTCTCTCTCTCTCTTTTCTCTCTCCTTTTCTCTCTCTCCTGCAAAGGTAAGCTCTTCGCAGCACCTTAGCAAAACAAAGAACACACAAATTCCACCGCCCGTGGGGTTCCGCTTTCAGACCCTGCCACGCCGAAGCCGCGAAGGGCGTCTTTTTCGCGCCTCTCCGGAACTCGAAGGGGTTCCAGAATCGGTTTGCGCACATCCAAATGCGGTTGTGCCTGAGCGCAAGGGGCTTCAAAACGTGGTACTGAAGTGGTCCACAAGAATGTAAAGAATGAAGAGGACGGCACCTATGGTTGGGACTGTCTCCTAGTTTCCTTCGTCCACCCAGGTTTCGATTGTGGCTCAAGTCGAATGCCTCCTTCTGAACCTGACACAAGAGCAGAACATGGCCTCTGAGAGACTCTGGAGAGTCTCTGGTCAATGGAAACAAACAACTACCTGGAGTCTCCATGGCCCTTCATGGGTCCATGACCCCTTGTTGTTTGGAGACTACAGGTAGCGAGCATTGCTTTCAATTCTTTTGTTTTGATCACAACTGAGGGCCAGTGAGCATCAACTTGAATGATTCGCTGGATGCGAAAATTGGGAGCCCAAAACTAATACAGAAAAACGTCAATCTGTCGCATGCTGGTCCCTTTTGGGGAAACTATCAGGGCCTGTCGGTTTCCTATTTGGGGAACCAGCAAGCATTGTGTATTTAGCTCGGGGACCAGGTTCAGCAAGCAAGTCGAGTTTGTCAAAGATGGGCCACACTTGGAGAGTCCCATGGACTGTGTGGGATAAAGCTCGTTCGCCCCTTCTCGTCCCTCCCAAATAGACCATGCACTACCGGCAACGCCAACCTATGGGACGCCAAATCTGCTGGATTTACCTTAGACCGCCAGCTGCGCATCATTGTCTTCTGTGATCACTTGCACAAATGGATGCCCATCATACGCAGGAGGTGCACCATCTAGCAACGGATGAAGATTCCTCCTGGGTATACTTTCACTTGTCACCAAACTGTCACAGCAGGTTCCATGTTGTTGTATTTTTGTTTGCTCTTGTCTGGCTCAATATGTGTCTCCCCACCTGAAGCCTCAGGGGAAAAACATTATGAACAAGGAACCTATCCCAACGAAACACACAACAACCAAAAAACACCATAAAGCGATGGTTTCATCGGCCGCCCAGGATGGGGTTGGGCCTGTCTCCCTCGAAGTTGCAATCACAGCACTGAGCTCTACCAAGATGGTTATGTTACTATCCCTGTTAAGCCATGTAGGAACCGAACCACCTACAACATCCCCTACCGATTCACATCAAACCCACCAAACAACCACCATTTGTAGAGGAAACTCCCTCAAAAAAAGCAGTCACATGGAACCATGGTGAACATTTGTAGAGGAACCATTCGCATGGATTGAAAAAAACCATTTGGCTCCTGGAAATCGGAGCATTTGGCTCCTGGAAATCGGAGCCCCTGGGTCTGGGAATCGGGCCTCGGGTTCCAAGTCAACTTGGAAAGTCCAAAGGCGCGAGCTGCGACTTGCCTGGGCGGCCCGGCTTCGGCGAGTACCCGGCTCGATGGTTCACGTCCGCCGGGCAGCGGACGCACACCAAATCCACCGGCGCCTCGGGGCACAACCCCCCCCCCCGCCCCCCAAAATAATAAAAGGCCTAAAGCAGGTGGGGTAAGGGTTTTGGGAGATCTGGAGTTTGGGGTTTTGCCGGTTTACCCTTTTTCGCCAGGATTGAACATAAGACCCAAAACAGGTGGGTCTCCGAGCTTGTGTCCTGCAGTCGCCTTTGGATATCACCACTATTTCTTGGCCCCCGAAAAAGCGGTGCTCAGAAAGAAGACATCCAGATTCTGATTCTGAGTTCAGTCTGCCTCAAAATAGAGCATAGTTTCTTTCACCCCTGGCGGCAACTTTGGAGGAACTGCAGGTCTTGCCTCCTGTCCCTTCCAAACATACCTGAAACACCCTGGTTTGATCCATGTTTGTTAACCCCCTTCCTCTTCCTTCCACTTCGTTTGAGGGGAACCGGTTCCTTCAGTAAATGATGTCTGTGAATTTCAGGGTACCCCTTTCAGTTTGCTTTAATATGCTAAACAGAAAACGACACATTTTGAGGGTCCCCCTATTTTGACACATACCCAAATCCATGTAAAGCTCTGCAAGGGCAGTCGCACCCTTTATGGTTAGAAGGGTCTCTTAAAGTATCCTTCGTCTACCGTCTACCCAGGTTTCTTTCGATTGTGGCTCACGAGGAGTGATGCTGATACAAAGCGGCCCATGGGTGTCAATCGGTAATCTCAAATGGAAACCAGCTGAGGCAGGGTCATCCCTTTGCAGCGTGGGCACTTCTTAGCACATGCATTACGGCATTCCCAAACATCATTCTCTAAGCATCTTGGGACCTCAAAAGGGCTGATGCGAAGGGTTACCACGTTTGAGGTGTCTGCGTCGCTGGCCTTTCCAACTCAACATCTCCACGCTGCTTCTACTTCAGCTCTTGTTTTCAAAAAGAAACAGAACAAAACAGCAGCTAAAACCAAGTCGGAACCAACTGCAAACCAACAAAAATTGAACACCACCTGAAGCCAACTCAACAACCACCAAAAGCCACAAAACCTCTTAAATACCAGCTAAACCCCACCGCAAAAAACACACACACACACACACACACACACACACACACACACACACACACACACACACACACACACACACACACACACACACACACACACACACACACACACACACACACACACACACACACACACACACACACACACACACACACACACACACACACACACACACACACACACACACACACACACACACACACACACACACACACATACCACACGCACACACGCACGCACACACGCACGCACGCACGCACGCACGCACGCACGCACGCACGCACGCACGCACGCACACGCACGCACACACGCACACACGCACACACGCACACACGCACACACGCACACACGCACACACGCACACACGCACACACGCACACACGCACACACGCACCCACACACACACACACACATCGCAACAACCACTACGTTGTTCATTCCCAGTTCCCGCCTTCATAGCCGACAGGGCATTCACCAGGATCTCCACCTTCCAATGCCCAAAGGCCTGCGGAACATCGAGCCCGGCGGGTTGGATTTGAACCCAGAGACTTTTTGGTGGTTTTCGAAACCTCACTTGCCCAGTTCGGACCTGAAAAAAAGGTGATCACCTTTTGGGGTCATGACTAAAACTAGACCAAACCCGGAAAACTAAAAGGTCAAAAGGTCGGCTTTGGGCAAGTAAGAAACCCTCAAGACAGGAGAGGTCATGTGAGCATTGTTTTTTTAGAGGTTCAGGGCTTATACACTGCTGGGGAGGCTACCCGGGGGCTTCGCGGGGCCAGAGTTTGTGGAAGGGTTGGCTTCGCGAGGCTTCGCGGCAAGACTGTGGCTTCGCGGAGTGGCTTCGCCGGGCTTCGCGGATGCTTGTTCCACAAACATCTCTCACGTTTGCGCCCCATGTTGTGGAATCAAGTTGAGTCCGTGCGAAAGGGGGCGATGAAAGGCGGCAAGAGAGGCATTGAGCTTCAGGACTAGGGGACGTGGCTGGGCCTCAAAGGGGCGGAGCATGGAAGTTGGACCGCAGTGGCTTCGCGGTGGCTTCGCGGAGGCTTCGTGGGGGCTTCGCGGGGGCTTCGCAGAGGCTTCGCGAAAACGCTCCATCGTTTCTAGCAAAACCGGGCCTGAAACGCACAGTGCTCTTCCGATCGTCTTCCCGCAATCTTCCTGTAATCTTGTCGTAGCCTGCTGACTCTAAACATCAACCTTTAAAATTTGGAATACTATTGCCATGAAAGCGCACAACGCACTTGCCATGAAAGCTCGCAACACACTCAAACCACGAAGTGGCTTCGCGAAGTGGCTTCCACTGTGTCAATGTTACCGGGCTACGCGAAGTGGCTTCGCGGGGCTTCGCGGTACACAATGTATCGCACAAGTGCCTTTGCGGAGCTTTTGGGAGTTCCCCGCGAAGCTAAAATCCATCATCTGAGAAAAAAAACGCTGCTCATGTAAAAACGATGGGCCGGATGGATCGATCCAGCATTTGTTTTGCGGGTCGAAGCTTGAGTGAAGTCCGGTTTTGATTGAAACTACCGGATTCTGGCAGTTGCTTGGATAGGAGAAAATCGCGCTCATGTTTGCTCGTTCATTTTCAATCGGTTCTATGGCTCCAAAGCGATGCGAGAAAGAAGGGCACAGCTCCGCAGAAAAAACTAGACGACGAGTGGCCCGGAAGCATAGAGGCAAGTTGATGCAGGTGAGGTAACTCTCGCAAAGTTAGCATGAGGAGTTGGCAGGCGAAGCAATTCTCAAAAAGTTGGCATGAGAAGCTGGCAGGTTAAGTAACTCTCGAATAGTTGGCTGGCAAAGTTGGCGGGTGAAGTAATTCTCGCAAAGTTGACATGAGAAGTTGGCAGGCGAAGTAACTCAAGAGAAAAGTTGGCATGAGAAGTTGGCAGGTGAAATAACTCTCAAAGAGTTGGCATGAGAAGTTGGCAGGTGAAGTAACTCTCGAAAAGTTGGCGTGAGAAGCTGGCAGGTGAAGTAATTCTCGAAAAGTTGGCACGAGAAGATGGCGCGTGAAGTAACTCTCGAAAAGTTGGCGTGAGAAGCCGGCAGGTGAGGTAACTCTCGCAAAGTTAGCATGAGGAGTTGGCAGGCGAAGTAATTCTCGAAAAGTTGGCATGAGAAGCTGGCAGGTTAAGTAACTCTCGAATAGTTGGCTGGCAAAGTTGGCGGGTGAAGTAATTCTCGCAAAGTTGACATGAGAAGTTGGCAGGCGAAGTAACTCAAGAGAAAAGTTGGCATGAGAAGTTGGCAGGTGAAATAACTCTCAAAGAGTTGGCATGAGAAGTTGGCAGGTGAAGTAACTCTCGAAAAGTTGGCGTGAGAAGCTGGCAGGTGAAGTAATTCTCGAAAAGTTGGCACGAGAAGATGGCGCGTGAAGTAACTCTCGAAAAGTTGGCGTGAGAAGCCGGCAGGTGAGGTAACTCTCGCAAAGTTAGCATGAGGAGTTGGCAGGCGAAGCAATTCTCGAAAAGTTGGCATGAGAAGCTGGCAGGTTAAGTAACTCTCGAATAGTTGGCTGGCAAAGTTGGCGGGTGAAGTAATTCTCGCAAAGTTGACATGAGAAGTTGGCAGGCGAAGTAACTCAAGAGAAAAGTTGGCATGAGAAGTTGGCAGGTGAAATAACTCTCAAAGAGTTGGCATGAGAAGTTGGCAGGTGAAGTAACTCTCGAAAAGTTGGCGTGAGAAGCTGGCAGGTGAAGTAATTCTCGAAAAGTTGGCACGAGAAGATGGCGCGTGAAGTAACTCTCGAAAAGTTGGCGTGAGAAGCCGGCAGGTGAAGTAACTTTCGAAAAGTTAGCATGAGAAGTTGGCAGGCGAAGTAATTCTCGAAAAGTTGGCGCGAGAAGTTGGCAGGCGAAGTAACTCTCGAAAAGTTGGCAGGCGATGTTGGCAGGTGAAGTACCTCTCGAAAAGTTGGCATGAGAAGCTGGCAGGTGAAGTAATTTTTCGAAAAGTTGCCACGAGAGGTTGGCAGATAAAGTATTTCTCGAAAAGTTGGCATGAGAAGTTGGCAGGTGAAGTAATTCTCGAAAAGTTGGCAGGTGAAGTTGCCACGAGAGGTTGGCAGGTAAAGTATTTCTCGAAAAGTTGGCATGAGAAGTTGGCAGGTAAAGTAATTCTCGAAAAGTTGGCATGAGAAGCTCGCAGGTGTAGTAACTCTCGAAAAGTTGGCATGATAAGCTCGCAGGTGAAGTAACTCCTCGAAAAGTTGGCACGAGAAGTTGGCAGGTGAAGTAACTCTCGAAAAGGTGGCATGAGAAGCTGGCAGGTGAAGTAATTCTCGAAGTTTCGGCATGAGAAACTGGCAGGTGAAGTAATTAACCCTCAAAAAGCTGGAGCGGCGGAGGCGCTCCGCGTGCTACATTTGCAATTTACAGTTGCGATTTTCCAGCCATTTGTATCTAAAAGTTGCGATTTTCCAGCCGGAGCTGCGGGAGCACGCTCCGCGTACTACGTCTGTACTTAAAAAGTGCGATTTTCCAGCCGGAGCTGCAGCAGCCTCCGCGTACTACGTCTGTACTTAAAAGTTGCGATTTTCCAGCCGGAGCTGCAGGAGCACGCTCCGCGTACTACGTTTGTACTTAAAAGCTGCGATTTTCAAGCCGGAGCTGCCGCGGACCAGGGGGGAATCGAACCCGGGACCGCGGGATTGCGAAAGCAGGCGCGCACACCACGAGACAACTTCCAAAAGCCGTTTCGCGAGCAAGAAAATCGCACGGCGCCACAGCGAGAGCGATCCGACACGCACGATCCCCGCAGAGGGTTCATCGGGCTCAAGACAAATTCGCACGGCGCCACAGCGAGAGCGCTTCGACACGCACGATCTCCGCAGAGGGTTCGCCAAGGTCAAGACAAATTCGCACGGCGCCACAGCGAGAGCGCTTCGACACGCACGATCTCCGCAGAGGGTTCGCCGCGCTCAAGACAGATTCGCACGGCGCCACAGCGAGAGCGATCCGACACGCACGATCCCCGCAGAGGGTTCGCCAAGGTCAAGACAAATTCGCACGGCGCCACAGCGAGAGCGCTTCGACACGCACGATCTCCGCAGAGGGTTCGCCAAGGTCAAGACAAATTCGCACGGCGCCACAGCGAGAGCGCTTCGACACGCACGATCTCCGCAGAGGGTTCGCCAAGGTCAAGACAAATTCGCACGGCGCCACAGCGAGAGCGCTTCGACACGCACGATCTCCGCAGAGGGTTCGCCAAGGTCAAGACAAATTCGCACGGCGCCACAGCGAGAGCGCTTCGACACGCACGATCTCCGCAGAGGGGTGCGTTTCGTAAGCTCCCGTCGGGCCTACCCCCGCCATAAAAAGAAGAAGAATTAAGAGTCGAGATGTGAAGGTAGAAAAGAAAAGTTAGCTTGTGTCTTTAGGATAATGAGATAACACCCGAAAAGTCGATATGAAGGTAGAGAAGAAAAGTTAGCTTGTGTTTTTAGGATAATGAGATAACACCCGAAAAGTTGACATGAGAAGTTGGCTGGTGAAGTAACTCTCGAAAAGCTGGCATGAGAAGTTGGCAGGTGAAGTAACTCTCGAAAAGTTGGCATGAGAAGTTGGCAGGTGAAGTAACTCTCGAAAAGTTGGCATGAGAAGTTGGCAGATGAAATAACTCTCGAAAAGTTGGCAAGAGAAGTTGGCAGGTGAAGTAACTCTCGAGAAGTTGGCATGAGAAGTTGGCAGGTGAAGTTGGCAGCCGCTTTTAGAAGAAGAACCCTTCGCAATGCTTCCGGGAAAAAAGAAGAATTGGAATCAAGGGACCTCCAAAGCAACCCAGTTCCTCGAGTAAAAGCGATTTCCCCCGCAAAAAACAAAAACAATACAAAACAAAGTTGCACAAAAAATCGGACCCTCCAAATCCATCCCTGAAGCCAACAGGTCCCATGAATCGATCCACTCCGTGCGCGAATCGGATCTTTTTTTGGCTTCGCCTGTCTGGAGAGGAGCTGACAGGACTTGAACTGCCAGCTGTTCAGATTGGCGTCGCACTTGGGCTCCATCACCTCGCGAGCGAACGAGCGAAGACGTGCAGTCAGACTGCCTCCCATGCGTCGAGCCCAAGAAAATCCTGCCAAGTCCTACCCCCCCCCCCCCACCCCGTAACCTCCAAGTAGTATCCGCTGATTGGAGTGTTTTTCTCCAGACAAAGGAGTGGTCTTTCCTTTTCAACAGCTGTCCACTGGGGCGTTGCGCCTCCGCCAGGTTTTTGGCCCCAATGCTCGGTGGATACGAACCGAGGCCAGGCGCCACTGATGCCGACGCAACGTCCACCGAGCTCTTGTCATAGTCGCTGGAGAATGACCTCAATCGAAGCAGGCGCAACGCTGGCATGTAAACCGTGTTCCATTGAAATCTAGGTGGTTCTGTTGGCTTCCTACCTCTTTGGGGATTGTTCAAAGGCAGCCCTGCTTCGAGTGCTTTTTTCAGGGACTCCACAAGAAAACCGCCCAGTTTGGGTTCCGCTATGGGATTTCCCCACAGAGGAATGGGATGACATGCAACCACAATCCAAGGACGCCTGCGTAAATGGAGACGCTGGGTTGGGCAGGGTCGGGGCAAAAGGGCCCGAAAATAACGAGTTTCCTTTTGGTGTCCCTGAAAGAGCCACTCCCAAAAGGATAACACCGCTAAAAAAAACAACAGTTGCCTAAACAACCTCTGTTTGGATTCCCTCAGGAATTGGACTCAGAAGTTTAAACCCCTCGATTTCGCTTTCAGCTGTATCGCCAGCGGAACACCAAAGGGGCGGTGTATCCCAAAATGAGATGTGACTGCGAGAGATTGGGCACCCTATCAATGTCACGTTTAGATTCTGCAAGGTGTCCATTGTTAGGCGAACCTTGCGTAGCTTGACGTCCTATAAAAGTCGTCAGTGGCTTCTGGGAGTTTCGCCCCGACTCGCCCACCATGGATCAGAAACCTCCCTAAGACGCTATAATCCTTGTTGGATTGTAAAGAAGGGGACGGGGGGGGAGGGGGGCGAGGCTTTCCCTTCGGGAATTCAGAACCGCTGGGGATCTCCGAAGAAGCCACCTTGGTCTTATTCCCTCCCCCTGGTTCTCAGTGGCAAGGAGACACAACAAACTGGTCCAGTGTTCAGAGAGGAGGCACCTCTTTTATGGCTAAGGACGCTTTTCGGATTCGTGAAATTGAGGTTCTTTGAGGAATTGCAAGAGATCGACCCCTCCTGTTTGGGCTCCAACTTAATTTTCCGCAGGAGAAGCATCGCACTTCAACCGACCCACGCACCCCCTGAAATGACCTTACTTTCTCTTTCCTTTCTTTCTTATTTAGGGGGGGGGGACAAACGGAAAATAGCCAACAACGCTGAAAAGGTGCGAAGTGCGGAACAGATGGGTAATCCTACTAATGAAAGATGGCCACTTCCTATGTTCTTGAATGGTGGCTTGCTGGCTGCACAGCCCCTGAAGAGAAACCCTTCCAACAATACAAGCCAGAGGGCAACTCGCTTGTCGATCAAAAACATGAGTGTTCCTTGTTCCCCAACTGGCAATAGCCGGGAATCGACCGCATCACCCCCTCAAGAATGCGCTCAGAGCAGACTGAATGAGGGCACCTCGTGAACCAATATACCATCCCTGGTATGAACCCCTCGTGATAAGTATCCATCAATTCTCTTGGAGGGTTTGGTTGCCACTTCCCCTAAAGCCCCAAATGGATTCCCAATCGGCCGAACCGCCATGAAAGGTAGCGTGATTGAATGGAAACCTGAGGCCTCCGGCGGGCGCCACATCGCACGGGCGTCCGGCGGATTCGACTTAAAAAGGTGTAGCTAGCTTGCTTCCTGGACCTCGAATGATTGGATATTGGGCCAAAATACTGGGTGATTGTCCATGTTGATGATTGCTTTCAGGGTGGTTCTCGTTTTGGTGGTCAACTTCATGTGTTTCACCTTGCTGCTTGACTCTAAAGCTGGTTCCCGTTCATCACAATGCACACCAACACAAAAGCCAGGACACCGGCTAATCCTGGGCAAGCAGGATTGCAACCATTTTTAATCACCATTCAAGCAGTTTCATCACCAAAATTGGGTCCTTTGTCTTGATGGGACTCGGTTGAAGCCGAAAAAACAGAGCAGAACTTGAGAAGTTTCTCATAGCCCGTTCCCTCCAGATATTGGGCCAACCTCTTGGTAATGATTAGACAGATCCACATTGGGAATCCTGACAAATCCATACTCAGATGTACTAAGCGGTTTCCCATCAGCTTGGATTCCTTTGAGTTCCGCTTGGATTCCTTTGAGTTCAGTCCGGATCCTATCGCCGTGGATTGGATTCCGACAAAGCCTCAGTATTCCAGAAGCAAGATGGCTTCCGACTTGGGCTCAATCTTGCTGCTTGAGCCACGCGGGCGGATCTACACATCCGCATTGGTTCGCAATGCTTCCACCTCAAATAATCATGGGGGCCGGGGGGGAGGGGGGGGAGGGAGGGGAGGGGGAGGGAGCTCTAAATAGGGCCTTATTGAGGGCTTGATAGGGGCTTATTTCGGGCTCCCTCCCCCTCCCCCCCCTCCCATCCCCCATGAAATAAGGGATCCTCAAGCAAACGCATCATGGATGTTTTCCCTCATCTACAGAAATGGCGAGCTCGCGATACAATCCGCTGGCAAATGGTGGATCATGACACCGTAATTCTGCGAATATGACCAACCACTTGCGTGTGTCTTTGTGTGAGGGTGATGGTTTTGAAAGGATGCTTTCAAAGGGAAACCAAAGGAAAACACACCATTTGGGTCCCAATTCTAAGACACCCCCAGGTCTCAACGGTCAAAAGGAGATACCTCCCTAAACCCTGCGGCGAATTTGAGCTTCTGCCAAGGCGCCCAAGGCTACTGAACATCTGGAATCTGCCACTGAACGCCCCCCAAACGGGTCGAAGGCGAATACCGTTGAATTCTCTCGTAAGGATCGGCCAGCCTCCAAGTTTTTCCAGGGGTTGATTCCTTTTCCATTTTTCTCAACCATCGTTCTATTCAAGAACCAGCTGTTTCTTTGGGGTTTGGTTAGTTTCCTGAAAAGAAGGATCCCTGGAAAGAGTGGGGAAGCTAGCCCTCGAATTTTGGGAATACCCCCCTTCTCCAAGGGTCAGAACTTGGAAGGAGATGCCAGCATTTTGTCCCACCTTTGCCGTCAAACTCGGCTCGCGCTCCGAATTGCAAGTCTTCCAGCTCACTTTCCACCAAGGGGAAGATCACCTGGCGCACTTGTGGTGATTTCAGTCGGACCCGTTCGGAACCGTCCAAACCCCAAACCAAATGGGTATGCGCCAAAATAGGGGACCTCCAAAATGGGTGACTTTCTCTTTGGCTTGCCTTCTTGAAATCAAGAAGGCAAAAGGATACCCTCAACAAAAAAAAACAATGGCTTGTTGTCCTCCATTTCATCTTGGGGGTTCTCGGCAAACAAGCAGGATGCTCAGCAAACGAGTGTCGTGAGCTTCCAAACTCAAACTTGGGTGCCCTTTTGGCTTTCCATGAAAACGACCAAGGGTACCCTCAAACAAGCGCATTTTGAACACCCGTCTGGAAAGAGCACACAGGGAGATCCCTTCTTTCGGTCAAACCCTTTAAGCCTAAGGTCGGGTTGACTGAAATCAGCGAGCGATTCATGCGTTCGACGAAAGGACGCCTGCAGCAAACAATTGGATTCCTAGAGGGTCATGAGATCTGAGCCACCGCCAAAATATCTCGATCCATATATCTCCTTCGTGTTAAAGGGATGCATTTGAAATGTGTTCTTGAGGGGCTTTGGTCATATAAGGATCCTTCGGTTTAAGAGACACCTTCTGTTTGAAAACCCCAATCCACTCCAACACATATCCTTTCCACGATCCTGTTTAGTAGTAGCTCATCTCCTTCCGCACCAATTCGAAGCTGAGGGTGTCTGGAACAACACATGTCCCTCAACACCTGAGTCATTCCACACTTCCTGAGTTGATTAGCCACAGAACACAACTACACTGTTCCCGGGCCCACATCTGGGGCACACGGAACAGAATATGTGGTGTTTCTGTTCAAGTTTAGTCTAGCCTGAAATACAACAAATGCGAAAAGGAGACGCAAGTTTGTTGATTGCTTTGCCACTAAACTGGTCATCCTGAGCAACTGTCTGATTCTAAGCCGCAACTCATGGATAGTTTTAAGCATTTCATAGTTTGTGGTGTTGGGGAAACCAGCCAACATTAGATAGATTCAAACTTAAATAACATTGAAGGCCCCCCTTAATTTCAAACCACCAGGGTTGATCAAAAGGGCCCTGTCAGGATACAAAAGAAATGGCAAAGACTGATCGGGAAACCAAAGTAACCTAAATCCATGCGTATGGAAAAGCGCTTCTATACATGTAGCTGTCCAAACCTTGGCATATTGGTTGACAACCTTGCTCTTTGCAAGCGAAAAAAACACTAAACATGAAGAGCACTAAACTAAACCTAGGTGGTCCAACTACATGGACACCCAACATACCCTCAACAATTGGATACAGCAAGGGTCCAGGTTAACAACCACAAGCGTGCCACCTTTATAAGTCCCAAAAGTCAGAAGGCTTTGGGCACTCAATTGCTTTACCCACCACACCCGCACGCCCCCCACCCACCCACCCCCTGCCCCCCTGAACGTGGATCTATGGGCGTGGCCTGGGCTTCCGCGAGCAAGGGCACCCGGACGTAGCGGGCGCCCGGGCATGGCGCGCCTGCCGGCGGCCGAAGCTCTCCACGACTCCATTCTCAACGGGGGGGAGTCTTCCAAAACCGTTCCAGAAAGAAGCCGCTGGAAATTGCTCAAGGCATCCCCCACGACATATTCAACGCTATGGGGAGCCTTCTGGAAAGAAAGCAGCCGCCGGAAATTGCTGAGGGGAGTTTCTCGGCATGGAACTCTCGCTGATTCTTTTGGGGGGCTGCAGTTTTGGGACAAATCAATACAAACCAATCGCTTTTAGGTTGAGATCTGCGGGACATCAAGGAAATCAAGGGACCACTTCCTCTGATCATTCAGAGAGCAGCCCTCTATTTGTGTGAAGGTGTGGCGTCATCCTCTGCCAGAGCTGGTTGATCCGGATCCATCTGCATCTTCCAGGGACAATTGAAGGCCGAGCGACAAAACCCTCCGAGATAGACCTGTTTCCAATGGAAGTGTACCAGGAAGGTCTCCCAAAGGGGAAAAGTCATCTAAGTTCTAACATGGGGTGAGCCCAACCCTGGTTGGGGCGGGTTGTTTGGCTTTTTGGTACTTGATGTGGCTATTTGGTTGAATGCGCCTTCATTGATTTTACGCCAGTTGTCTTGCTTGTTTCACGGTGTTCGCTCTGTAGAACGGGAACTGGCATTGACCCATTCGAGCCAATGCACCCGGGCCCCACCCTGTCCAAATTTGGATCTAATTCAAAATCCATGGGCTCACTCCTCCTCGGCTCTGTGGGTTCATAGCTCCGTAGTCCATGGCCTTGCCCATTCCACTCCTCAGCTCGCTTCCTCCTTTGGCGAGAGCGCAACTTTGGCGCATATTTGGGGTACTCCAAACAAAAAGGGTGTCAGATGATTGTCCATATTTAGTCTACCTACAATACAATATGACTTTGAAGTGAAGGCAGCTGAGCGATCAAAACCCATTGACTTTTGTGTTTATTCCCAACATTGCTGATTACATGTGACTTAACTATGAGCCAGGAGGTAGAACCAGCTAATACATCGCAAATGAGGGTTTTGTGCGCTCAGCTAAAGCCAGCATGAGCTCAACCCGAAGCTCGATTCTTCTTGTTTGAACCATCTGCGGTGGCAAAAATCCGGCGGTGGCAAGCCATGCCGCTTGTGGCCGAAGGTGCGCCTTCCATCACGACATATTCGACCAGACCTCCCACCACTCTGCCTATGTCTGGAATGCCAAAGGACTCCAACGGTCAAAGGGAAGGTGCGATGTTCCACATCCAGTGGATTACACCACAAAAGGAATCAATAACCGGTGGTTTTTATCATGGCACATAAGGGCACCATCCATTCAGGAATCCCTTCCTGAAGGGGCACCCTGGTCTGGTGACAAATTTCATCACCCCAAGGTAGACTTAAAGCCTGGGGATTGATATCACAAGAAAACCCTCTTACCTTAAGCTTGCCTTGGGGTCATGACAAAAGGGAATGTTTCTCTGCTGGGCTGGGGGGGCTTTGGTTTCCTGAGTTCCGCGCGGCAAAACCTGATGGAACGTGGCCGAGAACGTTCCAGCCATTTGTTTTGAGCTTCTTCGAATCCCACATACTCCATGTAGATACATTTGGCCCCATTTGGAGGGTAAATGTGAGTAACTATTCCCTACATGGAGTGTCTGACTAATTGCAACACTGCCAGACTGGTCAGAAAAAAACAACTGTAGCGCTAAGGTACACGTGAATTTCAGGCTTTGTGCCACACAACTCACGTGGAAACTGCGTGCAGCGTCTGGGGAGATGCCCCGTTTCGCTCGCGCCGAGTGTCGCATCCATGGGCCCCACTGCTGTGCCGGCGCCGGCTGCTCCGCCGGCGTTGGCCACTGCGGCCGCCACGGCGGCGGCGTTGGCGCCCGGGGGAACCACAGACACGGGCTGCCAGTAGCCGCGCCTGGGTCAGCCAACGTCCGGAGGGGTGAACAACCCAAAGCTCCAAATACCTGCGGGTTTTCAGGGTATATGTAAAAACCCAGGATTCTTCCAGGGTAAAGGCCTCCTTTTCCAGTGGGATTAACATGATACCCCCCAAAGCAGTGAGACTTGGCATGCGCGGTTGGCTGGAAGGCCTGCATGTTCAACCAACGTCAGCTACGAGGCTACCATGGATATAACTGGGGCCGGAGCTAGTCCCTTTATAACCATGGTTAGCGCCTACACTCTCGTTTGCAGTAATGTTGGCACTTGATTAATAAAGGCCCCCCCCCCCCTCAACAATGGAGGCGCTGCAAAAAAGTAGACTCACTTTTGGGACGTCCAAACAATGGAGGATTTTAGGGCCCAATTCTACTTCAGCATTGCAGCCACTTCCTTTTTGCAATTCCATTTTTGTACTGCGACCAGTTCTTCCTGAGCAGACTTTTTGAAATACTACTTTAGGGCTTGAGCTAGAAAGAAACCAATTGAAACGGGAATGCTTTTAAGCAAGTGGGCCACCAATTGTAAAGGGAAATGTTTTAAGCAAGTGGGCGACCAATTGAAAGGGCAATGCTTTTAAGTAAGTGGGCCACCAATTTAAAGGGGAATGCAAGGGGCTGGGGGCTTGCAACTTATGTGGTCCCCCTAAAGAATGCCATTGTTGTGGTTCAGTGAAGTCTGTGAGGGGTACCCTTGTCCTGATTGTTGTTTATTCATTTTTCCCGAAAGCATGGCGAAGGGTTCTTCCGCTGGGTTCACTTGATTTGTTCTCGTGAGAGTCATTACAAGGCGTCATTGCAAGGAATCATCATCATGAAAGTCAATGCAAGGAGTCATTGCAAGGAGTCATTGCAAGGAGTCATTACAAGGAGTCATTGCAAGGAGTCATTGCAAGGAGTCATTGCAAGGAGTCATTACAAGGAGTCATTGCAAGGAGTCGTTGCAAGGAGTCGTTGCAAGGAGTCATTGCAAGGAGTCATTACAAGGAGTCATTGCAAGGAGTCGTTGCAAGGAGTCGTTGCAAGGAGTCATTGCAAGGAGTCATTGCAAGGAGCCATTGCAAGGAGTCATTGCAATTGGAGTCATTGCAAGGAGTCATTGCAAGGAGTCATTGCAAGGAGTCATTGCAAGGAGTCATTGCTAGGAGTCATTGCTAGGAGTCATTGCAAGGAGTCATTGCTAGGAGTCATTGCTAGGAGTCATTGCAAGGAGTCATTGCAAGGAGTCATTGCAAGGAGTCCTTGCGAAGAGTCATTGCAATTGGAGTCATTGCAAGGAGTCATTGCAAGGAGTCATTGCAAGGAGTCAAGTGCAAGTTGCAGGTGCAAGGAGCCAAGTGCAAGTTGCAAGTGCAAGGAGTCAAGTGCAAGTTGCAAGTGCATGGAGCCAAGTGCAAGTTGCAAGTGCATGGAGTCAAGTGCAAGTTGCAAGTGCATGGAGTCAAGTGCAAGTTGCAAGTGCAAGGAGTCAAGTGCAAGTTGCAAGTCCAAGGAGCCAAGTGCAATTGACTTGCGAGGAGTTAAAATCTCTTCTTAGGGCGGCGGGGTAGTGCCGACGACACTACACGAAAATCGACCCTTTGCGGGGATCGGCGTGGTCGAGGTGCAAAAACCATGTTTTTTTTTGCGATTTCTGCGGTGCTCGCGCGACCCTCTGCGGGGATCGGCATGGTCGAGGTGCAAAAACCCATGGTTTTTTGCGATTTCTGCTGTGCTCGCGCGACCCTCTGCGGGGATCGGCGGGGTCGAGGTGCAAAACCTTGAGGTTTTTTGCGATTTCTGCAGTGCTCGCGCGACCCTCTGTGGGGATCGGCGTGGTCGAGGTGCAAAAACCCATGGTTTTTTTTGCGATTTCTGCGGTGCCCGTGTGACCCTCTGTGGGAATTGGCGTGGTCGAGGTGCAAAAACCATGTTTTTTTTTGCGATTTCTGCGGTGCCCGAACCCTCTGCGGGGATCGGCGTGGTCGAGGTGCAAAAACTCGAGGTTTTCTGCGATTTTTGGTGTTCGAACTGGTCCTCGGGAGTTGTCTCGTGGTTCGCGCGCCTGCTCCCGGAACTGGCGGGTCGCGGGTTCGATTCCTCCCTGGTCCGCGGGCGGGCGTCGCAAGATGCAACTTGCATTTTAAAGCAACTTGCGCAGAGCAACTTGCGCAGAGCAAGTTGCACAGAGCAACTTGCGCAGACCAACTTGCACCGACCAGTTTGCGCAGAGCGCCTTGCCTAGAGCAACTTGCGCAGAGCAACTTACGCAGAGCAACTTGCGCAGAGCAACTTGCACAGAGCAGCTTGCACAGAGCAACTTGCAGGGAGCGCTGTTTGCTTGCAGGGGGCCACTTGCAGGGACCAACTTGCCGGAGCAACTTGCGCGGAGCAACTTGCGCAGAGCAACTTGCGCAGAGCAACTGGCACAGTGCAACTTGCGTAGAGCAACTTGCGCAGACCAACTTGCACCGACCAGTTTGCGCAGAGCACCTTGCCTGGTGCTGTCTCGCGCTTGCTTCACAAATGCTTCGTGGAGGGAAAAAGAACGCATCCTGCAGCGTTGGGCCGACCTCGCTTGCGATGTTATGCTTTCGGGCCAACCGTGGTCTAGTTTAAACGCGGATAAAGAATTTGCAGTTTCAGGGCTGGGGATGGTTTTCAAATTTCAGAGGGTTCAGCTGGCTTTGGGTTTTGTGTTTGTTTTAAGCAAGTGGGCCAAGGGGAATGCTTTTAAGTAAGTGGGCCACCAATTAAAAGAGGGATGCTTTTGAGTAAAGCAACTGACAGTTTATTTTCTGGAGGGGGCTGGGGGCTTGCAACTAATGTGGTCCCCCTACGGCAATGGCATTGTTGTGATTCAGTGGGGTCTGTGAGGGGTACCCTTGTTTGGGCATGTTTTGTGAATTTGTTGGCATTTGGTATGGGGTCAACATGGATTTTGGGTGATTGTTTGGGGGTGGGGATGTTGTTGTGTTTTTGTAATTAAAATTGTTTTGTGGATTTGTTTTTGGAATTCCCCCCCCCCCCCGGGCATCACAACTTTCAGTTATTCTGGTCCCCCTCAACAATGGGGACGAACCGGAACAAGGAGAAAAACT